CCCGCTAACAATGCCCTGCGGTTGTTATGGATATTATTATATGTTTCATCTCTAAGGTATTATGAGCCAATAATGTATAGGTGAAACATAAAATGATTATCATCAAACAATAAACAAAATCACTTAACCTTAAATCGTCTTAACTAATTTGTAGAACTTGTCAACGATACGTTCGATAAGTGACAAATAGTGCCGTATACGTAGACGCTTGTACCAGCTTGATGGATCTAATGATAAACATTTCATTTCCGAGACTCTTGTCGATAGCCCTGAACATCTCTCTTGCAGGTACCCATAAACTAATCGTGCGAGGGACGACAGTGCGCCGGGGTACCAGGGAGTTCCGAAAGAAGTGCACCCGGAAGCGCTACGAGAGTGATCGATGCAAAAACAAAAAAACGATGCTACACCGAGCGGCCCTTTTAGTGACGCCGTGTTTTGTACAAATCCTGTATTGTCCCGGGCATCCCTGCTCTTATGTACAAATCGAGCTTTTTACCGGGGCATCTCTGCTCCTAGAGAAAAAAACTCTCGAGCCGACCGCGTTACAACTGTGCGAGATCTAGAGATAAAAAACTATTGAGCCATCCGTAATACACTTGTTCGCGATAAAGTCATTATAATTATTGTTTTTTTTTACTTTAGTTAAGTTCTATTAGTTGGGTTTTTCCGTGTTGGCTGGTTCTGGGCAAATAAGATATGAAGGGCAAAATACTATTTCAGAGACGTACTATCCCAAATAAGTACCTGGGGCCCAATTCTCGAAACTGGGAACGGCGTTCACATGAGAAAGAAGGGCGTGGTTCTCTTGTGAAGCGAATATTGGTATTCTTGAACGCAATCGAGTGATCTAATGACGCAACAGCAGTAGAACAAGCTTCTATTGCCAAATCTCGAGGGAACGCTTCGTTCACCGGTTTTATAACCACATACTACACAATTTTTCGCGAAGGTACCCGGTTTGAAAAGTGGTGTAATTTCGATTCGAACTCGAGTAGTAAATTTCTTAAATAAACTTGACTGTTTACAGTGTTGTATACAGTATAAAATAATGACCAATTTAAGAGATATCCTAACAGGTAGTAGAGCGGGCTTGTATGGAATTATTCTCAACAATCTTCAAGGAAAGTTTTTGTGTTTGAATCGTGTCTTGTAGTAGAAACTATTTTAGTATTACTGAATATACTTGTAGATGCAGAGGAACAAAAAGAAAATCCTCATCATCCAATAACATTTACGGTAAAACAATATTTTTCTAATGGGAACAGAGGTGGTGAATCGAGATAATATAGATACACCTCAAATAGTAATCGAGTAACCAGTTCAACAATAAGTAGCTTTAATTGATCATTATAAGAATAAATGAATGAATACAGCCAAATGTATATTCTTTTAAATGAAGCATTAACAGTTTTTGAATTTAGAGATATATTAAAGAAAACCAGTTTAATTTTGAGGAAGGTAAATACATTTAAAAATATAATATAATAAAGGTAAAGTCAATATTATAGAAGATCAATATTGAAATACGGTCGAAAACGCTACTCTGTGAGAAACACTCACCTGATAAATAATTTCAAACACTAGCACACAGTAACAGGCACTAATTGTTGCTCATAATTTTGATGTTGAATTCAAAACAGGAACTAATGGTACCACAAGATACTTTTCGGCCCAAAAATTCTAGGAATCTTAGAGGGCTCTCGGAAGTTAGAACAAAAGCACTGGCCCCACATGTGTTTCCTTGGAAGTCCGCGGGAGGTGCTCATTCAAACGGTCTTCAATAAAATTTCACAAGTTTATGCTGATTTATTCAAGTCTTATAATATATTTCTATTTACTTGGTATAGCAGCTTTAAGCTTTAGCTGGTATAACATTTTTAATAATTTATTTCAAACGCCCGCCAATTTTTTGACCGTTAGATAAATTTTCGTCTCTTAACCGTAAAATTGAGTCGAATTTCTGTGATAAAGTTGTTGGCAACAACGCTTTCCGTGAACGCTTCTCACATCGTGTCCTATGCATTCGAGAATACGGTTTTCGAACCATAGTAGAAAGGGCGGAGAAGGGAACGGCCACAACGGCGATGGGACCGTTCACATTCTCTCGAACTCGAGAATTGGGCACCTGGCATTCCTCTGCGCGATAAACGTTGTTTACTCTTATTTTTTGGGCATTCACCAACCTGTCCAATATGCAGGTCGTGGTTCCCGTTCCGGCAGAAAATCTCCGTAATTACCATCCGCTCGCAACGGGAGCGAATGGGCAGGAATTCTACGTTCTAGTACTTATAATTTACAAAAATAAATTTAAGTTTCATACAAAAATATGTGTTATTTCACAAGGGTGAAAGAAAAATAAGTGAACCCGACGATAAAATGTAATGTATGTAATAAGCCTTTAAATTTGCTTTATTGTCACACAAATTGCATCTTCGAATTTTTGTTTCAAATTGCTAATTGTTTTCCATAGTATTTAGCTTACCTCTTCCTCAAGTCGCACTACATTTCCTTGAGCGTTTGTTAAAGCAGTGTCCAATATATCAATGTGCGTTCTTTGTTCTTGAAGTGTAGCTCTTTGTGCAGCAAGTTCGATTTCTTGTCTCTCTTTGGCAGCTCCTAATTCTTTGCCTTAAAACAAATAAAAAAGTCGGTTTCACATCTTCTACAATTGCTGCAAAACCTACTTTGCATAATCAATTGCTTAATAATCCCTTCTCGTTTGTTGAGCTCTCTTCTTAAGCCATCGGCACCGTTCGAATCAGGAATAGGAGACCTGCTGAGAACTTGAGTGGACAGTAGATCCACCTTGAAAAACAATTATTTCAGAATTACCAATTAACTTACTGCCTGAAAATTACCTGTTCTCTTAAGGCTCTATTTAGCTCTTGATATCGCCGACTATCAGCTTGTAGTCTAGCCCTGGCTGCGCGTTCTAATCTTTCCCGTCGTTCGCACGATTGTACAATTTCTTCCTGGGATTTGTGAATTTTTAAGATCTCTTGTTCCAACTGGGGAAAATGTTATTCGTTAGTTTTGACTTTGGTCGGCAAAGTTGGTAATATATTACTTTGTGAGTTTTCTCAACTCGTTGATAGCAATTTTCCAGTTCATGTTTGAGTGCACTGTTTTCTTTTATTAGGATTTCCACCATTTCTGAGGAAGGCCATACTTCTTCATTTTTAGAGTCGTTTTCCTCTCTTCCTTTGGTTGGTGGCCTTGGAGCTGATACTCCCCTTCTAAATCCTGCAAAATTTTAAAGACTCAAAATCTAAGATAGT